CGTATTTAATGCTTCGTTGTTGTTGATGCTTAAATCTATTATAATATTCTAATAATCAACAATGATTATGAATTAAACATGAAATTAGAAGTCCAAAGACTGCATCTCTCTCTCTCTCTCTCTCTCTCTCTCTCTCTCTCTCTCTCTCTCTCTCTCTCTCTCTCTCTCTCTCTCTCTCTCTCTCTCTCTCTCTGGAGCATCGTAACAAGCAAGATACGGGCGAAAATCGATGAAAAGACGGACGCAGAGAATTTTCGCTTGGATTTTGCTTGTGTCATACGATGATGTGTTTGGACCTATGAATGATGGTAAAAGTCAAAACGACCAAAGGAAGAGAGAGAGAGAGAGAGAGAGAGAGAGAGAGAGAGAGAGAGAGAGAGAGAGAGAGAGAGAGAGAGAGAGAGAGAGAGAGAGAGAGAGAGAGAGAGAGAGAGAGAGAGAGAGAGAGAGAGAATTTTATGGTCGGTTGTAATGTTAATTAAGGCATAACAACTTAGATCAAATGTAAATATATTCAATATTTTGATTAACTTTTGTTGATCGCTAATGTTGCCTAGTTTCTACGCCACTCTTATTTCTATACGTGAATGGTTGAGTGTTCGGTGTTGGTAGTGCTCTACGTTCTTCAATAAAGCCATATTTCATGTTTGTATCATATGTCTTATATTGTTTAATCAATGTTAATAAAAATAGAAATAAAGAGAACATAATCAACTTATCAATATGCAAAGGTGTTTATGAACATCTAAAAAAAGGCACAGAACTACATTTTGTAGCGGACACGCTTGCAGAGATGTGATTCCATTCATTCACTCGGTCCATACACAGTTGGGTTTAGTCAATCTGAACTCCGTTCAAAGGGCAAATATATGTATTTGTTTGTGAAATAAATAAAATATATGCATAGTATGTACGCTGTATCAATGATATACATCTCGTGGTATATCAAGGATACAGCGTTCATGCTATACATATATACTAAATAAACAAACAAAGTCAAAATAAATTTTAAAACAGCCCCATGCGAAGCACAGGACTTACGGTACTAATAAAACTTCATTAGTGAACCTATGGAATCCTTTATTATAAAATAATTAAATAATTTTAAACTTCTTAATAGTCATGATCAACCCTATACTTCTAAATATAGACCCATCGTTGATGTAAGTTTCTGCTTGGAAAAGGCTACATGAGCCATGGATTTTCTCTTTAGCTCCAGTGTTTCCAATTCCGCTCATAATAAAATAGACGCCACTTCAAAACCGAGTAATCCCAAGTCAAATATATAACACTCAGCAATGTAATCTGTCGAATTTTGACAAAGTGTTGAATCCTAAAGTTGAATAAATCATGTATTAATGATATCATAGCTACGCCAGAAAGGGCTCGAGAAAAGTTTACTCTGATATTTCACTATTTCATCTCTGAAATATAAAATGACATACGTTTAAACTTCAGTGGAATTGACCCAGTCATCGTAACGGTATGATGGCAGAGAGTACATTAGAATTCCGACTTTAAATTGGAGGAGACCTTGTGTCAAATAATTGATCTTTAAAGTAAAGTTATTTGCATCGTGTTCTAGGCTCTCATAAACTGATGAAAGACATGATTATTCGGGGAACTTTAGAGACAGCTGCTCTTGATTGGTCTGTTAAAATTAAGGCGTTCACTTTCGAAATACTGGAAAATTTAAGGTAGAGGTTTAACTCAGAATTCCTTAGTCCGAATACGCTTTGTGACAAGACAAAAGGTCCGGCTCTTTGGGAACCTAAAAAAATAGAGGTTCCCTCATAAAGAAGCGGAGAAATTAGATAGCTGTCTTGAAAAGAAAATACAGGCTTTAGTGCTTGTATGCCCGATTGTGTGGAAAAGAAACAGCATTAAGGTACGCAATTTTAATTTCTATAGAATATTCTATTTCGCATGTTTTGTTTTATACAAATGTGTTTATATGCTTATGTTTCATGCATGTACCATGTATTCATTTCATATAACTGTGGATATGTTAGAGTTTTATGCAATTTAATTCTTTAATTTCACAGTTATTAATTCATTGATAGAATTGACAGATTTGTGATGTGATCTTAATTTTAGATGTGTAGTATTTTGTATGGATTAATAAATTAATCCAAATATGTAGAATTTCTTATTGTTATTCGAATTAATTTCTTTTTGTCTATAGGATGATACAGTTTACAGTGAGTTAATTATAATTGCATATTTATATATGATTTGCAATGCCTAAATGATCTTCGATGTTATTAGTTACTGTAAGCTAGGATTTAATGAATCTTATACAATATGAGTCGAACATTGATCTTATTGAGTACAATTAGCAAGCTATAAGGAGACGTATAGTAATGTATGCTGGTATATACGGCAAGTTATGTTTATATACACCGCCCACGTGTCAGTTGCTGCCGGGAGGCGAGATCTAATTAAGCCAAGCTTGGACGTATTTAGGAACGTATATTACAGGGTCATTGTAAGGACAGTTAATCGCAAGGTCACATTAGGTCAGAATTTACGTAGTGTGGTTAGCTATTTATAGTTCTAAAATAAGGAAAGTACCACTTTAGCCGTAATATTGTCATTTAAGAGAACAGCTTTCTGAATCCATTCCCGAGAATCCGATGAGGACAATCCAAGAGGTAAGTCCGTCAATAGAGGGTTCAGAATAGGAAGAGTCAGAGAAAGAACCAAGGATTAGACGCGGAATATATCAAGCCTAAAGAAAAAGCCAGGTGATGCAAAACAGTGTGGATATTGTACTGGTCTCACCACTCGTTAATATGATGAACGAATTCGTAAATTGTACACTGCTATTAAGTTCCAAGAAAGTAAATCTTTTGGATTGAAATTGCAATTTTTTGTTTATGTATTAATTAATTAAAACTGTATTTTATTTTATTGTTTACTTGGGCTCGTATTTATTTATTTTTTTTAATAGTCTCGCTTAGTTCTCTGTCAAAAGTTTCTATCTACTCACACTAGGTATAAACATCGAAGGAGGTCATTCTCTAGATAACGATCACCAAATCAATTAACAGGGCACTTCACACCAAAAACTCCCTTACACCTTACAAGCAATAGAACATTGTCTGCATTTTGTTTTACAATTTTAAATGAGATAAGCTCTAAATAGATTTTGTTTGCTAGAATTTACTTGTCAGTATCAACCAATTATGGCCCAGCAACCCATATACAATATTGTATGTTCAAGCATTTCCGGGCTGGTTCCCGTTTGGCAGTATTCGGAGTGCTAAATTGTGTAATAAGCAATGAAAAAACAAAATAGAATCATCCTGGACTGAAGTGACCAAACTCTAAGGAATGTTGATCAAATTCTTTATTTGCTTATGAGTTTAAAGGATTCTCCGATGCCCAATTTTAGACAGAAATACATGTATTAACTTTGACTCTCTTTCATTAAATAAGATTTTTTTTAGGCTTATATATTATTGAGATATGAAAAATTAAAGGTGCAAATTAAGCGTGTCCGCATTTAAGCTAAAATTTCTCACTCATTTTAATATATTTTGCTCTTATTTCTCAAGTTTTGCCGTAATATTATAAATAGTACAAAAGTAGGTTAAATTTAATGTCAAAAGTGGATTTAATCATATATTGAAAATGGGCTTGCAGAAATATGACCTTAATAAATCTTTAAATAAGCATCGACTTATTCATTCTTTGAACAGAAATAATAGACTGGACGTTTCTCTTTATTCTTCGAGGTCTTTTTCCAAGCAATTTCAATCCTTCATAATGACATTCTTGAAATATTACATGTTTACGAATAATAAACCTTTGATTATTTTCTTTTTGTGTGAGCAGGATTTTGGCACGACGAATAATGTATTTCTAATATTGGAAAAGCCATAATTAAATATTTCATGACATTATTAGGGGCCCCGAGTGGCCCAGTGGTCTAAAGCGCTGTCCGTTACGGATCACTGCCATCTCACCTCTTTCTGCGTGGGTTCGAGTCTAGGATTCGGCGAATGTGGATAGGTGAGAAAGCTTGCCAGTAGCTTCTAGTGGGTCGGTGGTTCTTTCCGGTGATTTCCCGGTTTCTTCCTCCACCATAAATACTGGCCGCCATGAATAGCCTATCATGTGCTGAAAAATGGCGTTAAGCCCAACAATAGCAACAACAACAACATTATTGTAAGGCATTGATAGATTATGCCATGTAATTTAGGTTTCATCAATAGATAATTAAGAAACCAAACCAATCTCAGTCCTTTGTTTAAGACGGCATGCGTACACACCCTTTGCGATTGAGTTTGGACTAACTAATGTAAAGAGTCGCACGGGTAGAATGGGATAGTTTTTGGTTCTTACTCAATATATATATACTTGTTCCTACAGTTTCTACAGGTCCCTCCCTTTATTATAACATTTTCATCGACTCCAAATCTTTCTCTAAAATATTTAGACCGATTAAAAGAATGCATTTGTCAAATTAAAGTATTTTGTTTCAAACTTGGATTTAATTTGCTACTCAGAATGTTACTGAATTTAGGATAAATAAACAACACAAACGCCAATAATTATGTGCAACTAGATTCGCATTTACTGTATGCTTCTTCAGGCACAAAATGTTTTGAAAGAAATGGATGACATCTTTATTTTTTTTTACTGATTTATTGTTACATAAATTTATTTGACGACGTCACCAAATCACCACAAAGCCATTACTTAAACTAAGAATGACCTCACAATCATTTTCTGGAATATATTATGAATATGTGATTTGGATTTTGATTTTCTTTAACGTAGCTTTAACAATTTTTAAGTCATATCGCTACGATGTCTACAGTGTGGCAGTTTAAAGTGATGTCTATCACTAGGGGATCATGACACAGACATGTGGCATGATGTCCCACCCAGTCACATTATCCTGACACCAGGCCGATCAGTCCGAACAATAACCTCCTAATGTCGACCGCCAAGCGAGGCAGCTTAAGTACAATTTTTGTAAGTCTTTAGCATGACTCAGCCGGGGATCGAACCCACTACCTCCCGCATCCGAGGCGGACGCTCTAATCACACGGCTACCGGAACAATCTTTTTGAATATGTAGTAAGATTGTTTGTTTTCCGCTTCACGAAATGACATTTAACTTGGTTTGAAAACTAAATTCGTAAACAAATTTTCAAACTGTCTCGTTAAGAACTATTTCGCGGTACTATTAACATTAAATGCCTAGAGTGTATTTTCAGCAATTCTCATAAAGTCTTTATTTACTTGTAAAGTCTTCAATTTAAGTCATGAATAAAACTAAAGCCATTTCAGATTATTAATATTTAGTATCATGATCAAGAACAGCCATGTCAAGGATCTTCAATATAACTGAGCACTTAATGTCTGCTGTCAAACTCTCTAATGGCTACCACTTAAAACAATTTATCTGTTTAACTAATCTCCGGTTCTTTAATGTTATATTCCAAACAATTGACGTAAGCATTCACCCTTCAATTTGTTTGCCTTTCACCTTGAATCGTTATGAATATGTAGTAAGATTTTGAGTCCTACTTAAAAGCTATCAATTTAGGGACAGTTTCACAATAAACATGGACTGTCAGGAATGAAGAAGCGATGTTTATTGCCCTGTCTCATAGCATATAAAGAGATTTATGTGACAGTATATGTGTGACAAACAACGTTAAAGAGCTCAATCAAGCACATATTACATTCTCTACCGAACTTGTCGTGCTTCTTGTCAAGACAATTACGAATATTTAGGTGTAATTAATAATATCGGACGAGTGAAGTCATCCACACTTTCAGCATCAAGAAATGTTTGTATTTCTTGACGCTTTCCAGGTAGACGACTATTTAAGGATTCATGGTACTGATTCAACTCCTATAGTAATCACATGGAAACACAAAGATATTCAAAACTCGATAACTTAAAGTTTCTGGGTGATCCTGGTCAGAATTATATATTTTTCAGTGTAGAACCGTCCTTAGTGCAAGCTTCGGTGTGGAGAACACGATATGACCTGCGGCGTTTTTTTATATCTGCATATGCATGACATTGTTTTCCATTCTGCGCCTAATGTATCAGCTGCTACTGTCATTATCAATAAAATCTTTTCTATATTTCTTTCAATTGCAGATCCGATATTTTTTCTTTTCTTTTCATTATTAACTAATTATAGACCCCCTCATCCAAAGCTTTGCCATTGCCGGTCACAAGCCCAGATGAAAAGAAGGATAGTTGTGCGCGGGTTTAGCTACACACCCACGTAAAACACCCTACTGCTGCAGAAAACGAAAACCGCAGAAGAACACTGGACGGACCCTAGACGGAATCGACCCAGGGGAGAGGAGGCCACTAGTGACCTCCTGTATCCAAAGCATGTTTTATGGATGGGAATATGGAACATACGGATTTTGTACGAGACAGGAAAAGCAGCACAGGTAGCCTGAGAGCTTAACAGGTACAAGATAGACGTACCCGGACTGAGTGAAGTCAGATGGAACACACCAGGGATGACCACCCTCTCTACAGGGCATGCGCTACTGTACTCGGAGTCACCGATCGATGACGACGAACACCGGAATCCCCAAGAGAAGAGAAATAGAGGACGCCCTACAAACACATGGAGAAGAAGACTCGATGCCAGGCTGAAAATCATGAAAATATCGTTGGGAGAGGCAAAGAAAGTGGCACAGGACAGGGACCAATGGAGGGCAGCAGTGGACGCCCTATGTGCCAACTAGGCACGAAGAGAATTAAACTAAACTAAAAATAGACCCCCCAAAACGTATATATTTTATGTCCACTCATTTCTAGACTGGTTCACAATTGTTTTGCGTTTTCGGTATAGTGATTACTGAAGATAAAATGATAAATCAGGTTATTAGTTGCTTTGAACATTATTTTTAGCAAGTGCTGTCAGGATGGTAGCATTCTAAAAATGACATAAGTGACACGTCTGGAGCGAGCTAGATTTATAATCTATGACCGCTAAATAATCTCGTGAATTAATGCTGCTCACATTCTACTCACGTGCTCGTAGAGTTTGCTATTAATAACTTTCACATTCTTTTAAGAATTTTGATGTATTACACTAAAACTGGAAACTGTCCGACGATTAGTGCCATATCTCTCTGTCGACATTTTCCTTAAACTTATATCACATTGCAAAATACTGCCAAATGCAAACAATTACGAAAACCTATAGAAATAAATACATATTCTCCAAAAAATCCATAACTAGGTTTCAGTCTGGAACACCGGAGGTAAACAAAAACATTAAAAGGTTTCAAACTGGCACCTTTGGGGTCACCTAATCACAAAAGTTGGTTTCAATCGAGCACCCGTCTGGTTCAGCTACAAGAAAGCAAGCTTGTTAGAAAAGCTTTCATTTGTGGCAATTATGTTGTGCAAGTTATAGATCTTAAAGCGGTTAACTAATTTGTATATTCGTGTGTGTGTATGTGTGTGTGTGTGTGTTTTGAGTTTTAATGTAACGTTGATATTTTTTTCAGTCATATCGCTACGATGTCTGCAATGTGACAGTTTATAGTGATGGCTAGCACTGGGGCATCATGCATCATGTCCCACCCAGTCTCATTATTCTGACACCAGACAGACCAGTCCTAACACTAACTTCGTAATGATGAGCGCCTAGAAAGGCAGCCGTTAGTACCATTTTATAGGTCTTTTGTATAATTTGAACCCGCGACCTCCCGCATCCGAAGCGGACGCTCTAACCACGTGGCCACCGGAGCGGTGACTTTCATCTTTGAAATTATTCATCTTTGAATGCTTTATCTTGCAAAATAATTTTTGAACTCTCAACAGTAAATTTTGTACGTTTTCTTTGGGTGTAATGTTAACAAGAAACCAAATCAAACCTTGTCGCACGCGCATTTTTCCTGTCCATTTTGTAGTCATTCGTCATCCACGTTTTAATTAACAAATGTCCATTTAAAGACGAGCTGGACGAATGAATAAACATACTTATAGTAATTCCAGTTTTAAGAAAAACAAAGACAAATTTTTGGATGGACAAACAGTCATCGAATTGACTTGTTTTGCGTCTGTTCGTTCTCCCAAATGGTTATAATTATGGGCGTTATTAATCCAGATGGTATGTCTAGACCTCTAATATCATTATAACAGAATCCATGGATGGATGCGATCATTTTCATTACATCTTCTCTCGAGATCCTGTCTGGCACGGTCGATGACTGCCCAAACATTAGGCTCTGGAGTAGAGACTGCAAAGGTTTTATTATTGAAAGCCGATAATTCTGTTGCTAATGATATTTTCGCAACAAAGTCGGAGAGGTTTCAAATATAGGCGTCCGTGAATAGAACGTATGGTAGCTTCGCTGTAAGCACCTTTAACGCTTGAAATATACACTTTTTGTATTTTCTTTTGTTGCCGATAGAAACTAACAACGCAACCATAATTTATGCATGAATTAACGATTCAGGCGGTCTATGTGACCTACGTAATCAATACTACGGAAAACAACGACTCAGGACGTAGTTGGTGAATGGTTGTGAAGTTTCGACTGATTTCTTTTAGTCTTCTATATTTGAAAGATTCTTCTATGTGACGCTATAGAAATATAATGTTTTTATTGTCAGCTTTATGCCTTCTAATGTGGGGATGGTGAATGAGTGTCTTTTCATCACGTCAATACTACAAGGTAAAGGTAATCAGTTAACCTCTCTTTAAAATAAAATTCCCAGGTGTACAAGAACTAGGTATACTATCGTTTCGCTCGTTTCGCGGTATGCCTTTGATAAAGTTTAGTTTGAGAAGGTTTTGAAACTAAAAGTGACATTCTGGCAAAATGTCATTATTGTGCATAACGTTATCTCCTTAATTATGAAAACCGTGGGGTTTTTTGACTTGAATCTGATACATGTACATTTTTAATTTGTGAAAAAATGTTTGTTCACATCATTTCTAAAAAAGTTTGTCTTCTAGCTATCGCCCTTTCGAAACTAAAACACAATAAAAAGCTGGATGTTCTTTTTATGTCGTGGCATAAGTTTTGAAAGAAGATTAATGTCGTCAGAGGATCCCGTGAGCTCTCGCCGATATCAGTACAATGTTTTTCATTGTGTCGCAGAATTAATATAAATTATTACTATGTTTTCTGAAATAATAATTTATTATCTTTTCCGTGACTGAGATAAATTATATATCTAGATAATGCAATGGGGAGAAAGGAAGTTATCTTCGCATGGGTTTAAATTGGAGCAGATGTGACGCAGGAACATATTTGATATAAATCATGTTACTTTGAATAGTGGCGGTATGAATATAAAGCCTGGTGTATAATTTCACTCATTTGTCGGGTTTTACTTTCATATTATCTTTGTGTCTATCCATGCATAAACTAAGAAAATATCAACCAGTAGACTCGACTAGTATTGGGTACCCTGTAGAATATATTTTTCTTTCTACCACCAGCATATTGTGTAGGAGTTCTGTGAAGTGTCGAATTTTGAAAACTCTTAGAAGCATTGGAAAAATGAATTGTATCAAAGTCAACTTAATTAATGTAGAAAGGGCTAGAGATAGTTATATGATTATTTTCATTTCATCTCTGAACGTCAACGGAAAATCGTTCTACGCGACGAACCTTGACCGAGTCATATGCAATGGTACAAGGGTATGACATAAGACTCTTCCCAAAATCAACCGGTTAAAAGTGGAAGCTTATCAATAATTGATTGTTCAAAGGAACGTTAATTACGGCATGACTAGCTGTCTTGACAATCAAAAATTCTACGGAGAAGATTTAGGAAACAGTCGATTCTGATTGGTTAATATTGATTTATGGGCGTAAGTCTGTAAGGAATTAAATGTTTTGCTTTAGAAAAATTCTTCAGTTTTAAATCTTTCTTGAAAGAAGTTAGGGATCGACTTCTGGAAACGTGAAAGACGTCTCTTGTGATTGCATATAGTAGACAAACTCTATATTTGAGGTTCGTTGGAAACGACTAAGAATCGGCAAAAGAAAACAGCTTTCCTAAACTCTCCCGAAATTCCAAAGTTACTGAGATTCACTGAAAATTCCTGTACCAATTCC